CGCACGCGCCCGCCCCCCCCCCCCCCCAAAGATGTAGGCAAAGCACCCCAGGGTAGCTGAATGGCCCCCCTTTGCACTGCAGGCAGCTGCATCTTTGATAAACAGAGACCTCCATGCAACCAGACTGCCCTGTCATCAAGCTTGTCACCCCAAGGGGCAGGGAACTAAAGCTGATGGTTGTGCAAACAAGCTCATTAAACACACCACCTACAACGGGGAATGGAGCTGCCCAGAACATGGCTGCTGCGTTCCTTCTCTGCATGTCAAAATAAGACCTTGAAAGGCCCGTGCTCAGGTTGGTGCTCCTAGAATGTCAGTTCTCCTCCCAGAGAGTTTGGAACTCAGTTCTGTGAGCCTCAGCCTGCTTTACCTGCCCAGGCAGTCAAAGCATCAAGGACGTTTTAGGGACCACACTTTTTAGAGCAAGAGAGATGCACGTGCAGTTGGGTACCTAATTTACATGGGAAAACAGGCAAATTTGCTCCCAGAAGCTTGACAGCAGGCACAGAACTGCCTCCATCCTATGCTAGACCATGGAAGTTCCACTCATGGTAATTTGTCATTTATTATCATTCCAGCCACCTTTACGCTAGATCTCGCAGTGCTATTGTCCTTTACGCCACACAACAAATTCCTCTGGGGCTTGGCTTCCCAATTCTATTTCTGAGCCCCATGACCACCACCACCCCAACCATAAACAGCTGCTCAACTGAACCCATTTCCCTTACGCCAGACCTCTTTGGCTTGGCAGATTCGCCACTTTTGCTGTCCAGAGCCAGGCAAGGAAACACTGAGCCTGAAGTTAAACCACTAATCCTTTATTTACAGTCCTTTCAATTTAATATTTTTTTCCCAGAAACATAATATTTAAGCTTGCAGGGGAGGAGAACCTACCTATAGACAGTTCCAAACCCAAGAGATAAAAGCATACCTGAATAATAAAAAACAACAGTGCATTTCAAGAGGGTTGGGTGCACACAGGACAGGAGTACTCTACAACAGAGCTTTTCACATGATACACTTGATCATGTCAGTTACAAATACTATTTCAATTTGTCACCATTTCCACGAGTCCCTGAGAGAGAAATCACGGGGCAGGAAGAATGTCAGCCTGCCCTGAATGAGTAGCAGGAACACTGGGGAGGGTGAACAGATATAATGGCAATTTACAATCCAACATTAAGAGGAAAAAAATTCTCTTAAGTCCCAACGGAGAGCGAAGGCCATTTACTATAACGCAGCATTACCGCTTGCCTGGTGACATCAGATTCACTTTAAGAAAAAGGGTTTTTTTGACAAGGAGAAAACCCAGCCTTCTGCTGGAAGGGGAGATTTGCAAGGTGAATTTCTTTCAGCCCTTGAAAAGAACAAAAACTGCTCAGGGCCTTAACCCCACTAGCACTTCCTGGATTGCGACATGGTGGGTTGGCTCACTTCCTCCATTCTCCTGTTTCACTTTAGCCAAGCCAGAGGGCTCAGTGAAACAACCAGAAAGACGAAGCACTCCATCTTCTGACCCTTCCCTATTACCAGTGCAAGTCATCAAAAGTCTGGGTAGCTAATTATAAAACGTCAATTTCCTGGCTTTTTTCTGGGGAGTGGGCCAGCAAAGTGCAGATATGGCAGTTCCAGTAGGAGAAGCATCAGTTGGGATGGGACATTCAGCTACCAGCCATATAGCAGAGGAGAGAGGTGACCCATCTCCCTCCCTCTACCTGAGAGCACAGTTTGGGAGCGCATGCCCATCAATTCTGGCAGCAAGGGGGCTCGCTGAAGCACCCCTCCTGTGGGGTCCTGGAGTCCTTTATCCCAACTGATCAGACATACTGAAGGTGAGAATTTAGCCCGTTTTACTAAAACGTACTCTTAAAAACCCCAACGCTTGGATGGCAGAGGCTGGCAGGTAAAAGGGTGTTAAAACCAGGCAGACAGAGCCAGGTCAGAAGCTCAGTTTTCTCTTCAATAGTACAGAAGTATCCTCCCCTCCCCCCGCACAGTGAGTTTGTCTTTGTAGGCCCAGGGTGCCTGTGAAGTGAGGGGGGGGAGGTCACCCAGCAAGGGTGGTAAACAAAGCTGGAGGCAGGAGCTGAGTCTGGTGAATGGAGGTAGGCAAATCCTCAGCCAAACCAATACAGCAGGCCCTTGGGCGGGGCTCAGAACTACTCCTGGCCCTGTGGGGCCTGAAATGCAATACCTGCCTGAGACTCCCTTTTGCACCTTCCACGCTGCCCATAAGCTATGCTCTGCCGTCTGCAAGACTGGTACTAGCCAGTGATTGTCAGCCTGTCTGGGACTCTAGAGTGACCCGGCTTGTTTGCGAGAGGGTGACCTTGTCACACCGCACTGATCAGACATGCAGTCGCCTGTGATCTGCAGTACCCCAGAGCGGGGCAGCAAGGACTTTATACCCGCGAGGGCGGTTCAGGGCTCTTAGCTCCGGGAGAGCGTCCTGTTTCTTTCACAGCAGATGCTCACGTCCGTGCTGTGACCAGTTTCCCACACAAAGCCCCGTCTCAGCAAGGTCTCCTTGACCCAAACACTATTTCTCCACTGACACCATCTGGTGACGCTTGCAAAAAGCCACTTGGCCGCCTCTGGTGACGCCTCGCAAGTCCCTTTCCCATAGCCAGAGCAGCCCCAGGAGGAAGCACCAGCATTCAGGCTTGTGACAGGCTCTTGACAAAGCCAAGCATGGAGTGAAGGCAGCATGGCTGGCAGGCCCCAAAGCTGCCCCTCACACTGTCTGGGATGCGGCACAGAGAAGACCTACTGTAAACACTGCAGCTGACGCGGAAGGTGCCAAAGTAGTTCAAAGGCTCGTTTGTGCTTCTCTGGGCAGTAGGATGCTGGTAGAAGACCCGCTGCAGGAGCGGTCCGGGAGGAGGGCCGGCTGGCTGCTGCTCTTCTCCACCGCGGCACTGATGGTAACCACCCTGTGCCCGTCCTGCTCCCACTCAGCTCTGGGGCAGGGCCCGCAGAGCCTGCACCCGAGCTTGTGGAACTTGTGCCGGAAGTTCCTGTTGGTCCAGAAGTAGACAAAGCTGTTGAGAAAGCCACTGCCACTCGGCAGCCACAGGGCCACGAACTCCAGCCACTCATGGACTCTGTCCTTTGTGATCGCTGCAAGGAAAGGGAGAGCCCCGGGTGAGCATTCCCATTACACAGGGCCTCTCATGGCCTGAGTGGGACCCGATGGTCCTTCCCCACCCATTGTGGACAGCCTCCGCTCCCCCCCAGCCTGGCTCACTGGTGTCAGGCTCCAGTCTAGACCCTCATTTGCCCCAGCTGGGCCCATTACCTCTTCCCCATGCTCCAGGGAAGTAGAGGGGAACAGTCTCCCACCAGCTGCACCAAACTGGGGGAAGGACAGTCCAGAGAAGAAATCATTGGCCCTGGTTTGGCGGGGGAAGAATATCTAGAGATTCATTTTTGCTGCAGCACCCACCTCCCAAAAACCGTGTACAGGATTCCCCACCTCTCACTTCTCCTAGGCAAGCATTCAAAGCCAGGCCACTTTAAGCCTGGCTCCCACCCTTGGCTGTGGCTCTCTCTTGTCCCCCAGCACAGGCCAAGTACACCTATCACCACCACCAGCGCGTGGCTTTGAGGTGACCCTTCTCAGGGATTGATCCTAGTATCGCCAGCCCCAAAGGTTACACACCTCTGACTCCCGAAGGCAGGAGGTTGGCTTAGAAAGCTCAAGTCAGAGTTTGTTTGTGCTGTCCAGAACTGAGCCCGTTGGGGAAGCAGCCAACCCCGGCGTGAGCTCTGGTTGGAGATGCAGCCTGACGGACACACAACCCCCAATGGCTCCGAGGCGGCTCCACTTAACCCCTTGCATCCTCCTTGTGCGGGGGCCCAAAACCGCCTTGCTAAGGGAGCCCAGCACCAGTGCACCACAGCTCACCCCCTTTCCATTATCGATACGCCATGTCTTCCCCCAGCCACCTCGTCCCACTCCAGCGCCCCCGGCTCTCCTCCCCCACCCCACTGCCCTCTGCAGCATCCCCCACTCCACCCCACTGCCTCCTGCT